AGAGCACCAACCTTGAGCAGAAAAGCTGAAGGATAGTGCCCAGGCCCTGAGTTTAAGCCCCAGCTCTGGGGCTTAATACAAAATAAAAACCCTATGAGCTTAGAGGCATGCCTCAAACATGTGCTTATCCTTGAGTTTAAATCTCAGTACCACCAACAAACAATTTTTTTAAAAAACACACACAAAAAGCTCTGACTTATATCAGAGGCATGCCGGGGCCGGGGTGTATTGTGCTGGCCTTGTGAGACTCAGCCCTTCTCTCCAGGTACTGGCCTTATGGCCTGAAGACATCCTGTGGCCCGGATGTGTTCAGTGGCACCTCCTACCCCGGTGTGCAGTCTTACATGATGGTTCTAATGGTGACATGCTGCATCATCCCACTCAGCATCATCGTGCTCTGCTACCTCCAAGTGTGGCTGGCCATCCGAGCAGTAAGCCCCCACCCTTCCGGCTGCACTCTGGGTTGACAGGAGGTCGAGGCAGTGACACAGAACCAGCTGTGTCACACTCCCTTCCCTCTAAGCTGCTCTTCTCCCAAAGCAGCCTACTGAGCCTCTTAAACACATAAGAGAATTCCATCCTAGGTACTCAGGACTCAGATCTATCAAAGCCAGCCCGGGCAGGAAAATGCATGAGCCTCTTATGTCCAATAAACTACTCAGAAAAAGCTGGGAATGGAGCTGTGGCTCAAGTGGTAGAGCACTAGTCTTGAGCAGATATAGTCCTGGGTGACTCCCCAACTCATTGTCGCTTGTTGTTGTCCCTGGCCCACCCCCCAGGTGGCAAAGCTGCAGAAAGAATCTGAGTCCACTCAGAAGGCCGAGAAGGAGGTGACACGCATGGTGGTGGTGATGGTTTTTGCATACTGCGTCTGCTGGGGCCCCTACGCCTTCTTTGCATGCTTTGCTACTGCCCACCCTGGCTATGCCTTCCACCCTCTGGTGGCTGCCCTACCATCCTACTTCGCCAAGAGTGCCACGATCTACAATCCCATCATCTACGTCTTCATGAACCGGCAGGTAAGCAACACTGGGTGGATGGAACTCAAAATATACCCGGGAGGAGCCTGGTGATGCCTGTACCCTGGAATGCTATCATCAATGAGGAGCCCCTGGGACATCTGGGGAGCAGAGGTTCAGAGAAGCTCTCCAGGGGAGAAGGAAAAGGCTCAGCATGCCACCCAGCCCCAGCCAGACCTTGTGCCAGAGTTGTGTGAGCACAGCTCCACAGCTCTTGGGGCTACAGATTCAAGTCTTCTCTTAATCATCTCCATCTGCTCCTTTCAACCCCTAAGGTCAGCCAGGCACCAGTGGCTCACGCCTGTAATCCTAGCTACTCAGGAGGCTGAGATCTGAGGATCACAGTTCAAAGTCAGCCAAGGCAGGAAAGTCTGTGAGACTCTTATCTACAATGAACCACCAGAAAACCAGAAGTGGTGCTGTGGCTCAAGCAGTAGAGCACTCGCCTGGAGCTGAAGAGCTGAGGGACAGCGCCCAGGCCCAGAGCTCAAGCCCCACAACCAACCAAAAACAAAAACAAAACCCTAATTTGTGGAATCTCCTCCCTACAAAAACAAAAGCAGGCCCTTCTGACTGCATTGGCTGAGAGCTGATGAGACTTGGGGAGTCGATGTGTTCGCTGGGGTGGAATGCGCTGTGGTCTGTGATGGCAGCTTTCCTTGGCTAGCATAATAGGCTTTAACAGCAAGTTGCCCATGACTCCTGGTGGGTTACAGATGACCTTGTGAGATTTATCGCCTTCGGATGCAGCCCTTCAAAACAGTTCTTTGCTACAGTATTGGAGGTGGAATGCTAGACAAGCGGTTTCCCTGCATGACACCAGTCCTCTTCTTCCATCTCATAAACACTCCATGGCTTCATCCTTGGAACAAGCCAGGTAGAGAGGTCTGTAGAAAGCATTAAGCACCTCTTCTTCTCAGTCATTTTGAAACACTAAGTACAATTAGTCCCACAACAATTCCTAGAAAGAGTCCTTGGCATGTTCATGCCCAAAGAATGTAGCTCTGGCTGACCGTCACCTGCTTCCTGTCTTTCACAAGCATCTCTTGTTAAGTCTAGGTTCAATTTGAGGAATCCTAATCTATCTTGTCAAACACTGTCTCTGTTTCTTTCCACTCCTCCTCCCAAAACTTCCCCTCCTGACAAATGTCTGCACTTCTGGACCTTGCCAGGTTTCTAAGCTTTGCTTTCATCCATTCCACTTTGCTACTTCAGTAGATTTTCTACAATGAAGGTCAATGAGGAAAGGGAGTTTTGCTCTTGCTGTTCAATGCTGTATCCCTCTAGAACTGTGTGCCACATAGTGAGTACTCAATAAGTACGTGTTAATTGAATCTCTTGGCTTCACTTACTAGATCTTCACCAAGACCATTCTGGTTTGCAGTCCATTTATACCATCAATCTCAACAATTATGTTTTGTTAACATTCAGAGTTTTGATGATAGCTGGATATACATAGGTCTGAAATCCCATCTACTCAGGAGGCAGAGAGAAGAGGACTGAAATTTGAGGTCAGCCTGGGCAAAAGTTGTGAGCTCTTAGCTCAAAACAAACACCACCACCAAAAATATTTGAAAATCCAGGTGTGATAGTGCATGCCTATAATTCCACCTACTTGGGAAGCAGAGGTAGGAGAATTATGATCCAAGGCTGGTGATGCAAGTTAGCACTAGATGCTATCGGAAAAACGAAGACTGTTTCACTAACAAGCTCTAGGCCCTGATCCCCAGTGCCTGCAAGATAGAGGAGAGAGGAGAAATGGGTAGGCCTGAATGCTTGTAGTATGGATTCTAAAATCTGTGTGGTTGGGTTAATTATAAGACATCACTGAGAAACTGATAGAACTCAAAACTTGTTAGGGGTCAGCCAGAAAAGAGAAGACCCCTTTTGGGAGCAGAAGACTTTCTTTGATGAAGAGGTGAGGGAGCTAGCTACACTATTATTGACCTAGTCCTTACCTCGCCATCCATTTCCTTTGAGACAGGGTGCCACTACAGAGCCAGTCTGTCCTCAAAGTCATTCTGTAGCACAGGTACTGTTGACCTTCCTGCTTCAACCTCCTGAGTGTGAGCATTACAGACACATGCCATCACATTCAGCTTAAAAAATGAATGGATCACTTCTTCCCTCTTTCTAAGGTGCTGGGAATGGAACCCAGGGCCTCATGTATGCTAGGCAAGCACTCTCCATTGAGCTACATTTCCAGCTTCCCTGAGGTTAGCAGGATAGAAATAAGATGTCATCCACATTCCTGGTCATTAAATTGCCTCTGGGCTTCTTTTTTTGGTGGTGGTGGTTATAGGGCTTGAACTCAGGAACTGGGCGCTCTCCCTGAGCTTTTCACTCAAGTCTAGTGCTCTGCCACTTTGAGCCACAGTGCCATTTCTGGTTTTGTGGTGGTTAACTGGAGATAAGTGTTTCCATGGACTTTCCTGCCTGGGCTGGCTTCAAACTGTGTTCCTTAGATTTCAGCCTCCTGCATGGTTAAGATTGCGGATGTGAGCCACCAGCGCCCAGATGCCTCTGGGCTTCTTGCTAGATATTCTCGATATGGGTCACTCTGTGCATGGCCCTTAGCTGGCATCATGTTTAGCTACTGCATAAGTATCTTGGTACTTCCATAACAAACTACCAGAAACTTGATGGCTTGAAACAATTTGGGATTAGCCAGATATTGGTGGTCACATCTGTAACCCTAGCTACTCAGGAGGTTGAGATCTGAGGACCATGGTTCGAAGCCAGCCCAGGCAGGAAAGTCAATAAGACTATTATCTCCAAAAAGCTGGAAATAGAGCAGTGGCTCAAATGGTAGATGCTAGCCTTGAGCAAAAATAGCTCAGGGACAGTGCCCAAGCCCTGAGTTCAAAGTCCCAGGACCAGCACACACACACAAAACAATAACTTGGTATTGAGCCTCTCACTTTTCTGGAGGCCAGAAGAAGTCTGGAGTCAAAGATGTTTCCTTCTGGAAGTGCTGAAGGAGAATCATTTCTGTACCTCTCTCATAGCTTCTGGTAATTCCTTGGTATTCTTCCAATTTCTGCCTTCATCTTTACATGGTCTCGCCTCTGTGATATGTAGCTGCATCTGAATCTTCCTCTTATCATAAGAACAGCGGTCTTTGGACTATGATTCATATTAATCTAGCATGAATTCATCTTAACGAGCACCTTAATTACACATACAAAGACCCTATTTCCAAATAAGGACATATCGCAGGTTCTAGGAGTTAGGACTTGGAACATATCTTTTGGGGAGACACAATTCAACCCACAGCAGCCACCATCAACTGCTCACTCAGATGACTCAGATGGCCGCCTCCATGTGCAAAGAATGACCTGAGCCTTCCTCCATCCCACTGATGGCATCCTAAATGAGAAGGTGATGGGTAATGAACGACCCACGCCTTACGTTTAGCACAGCACCCTTGCCCTTCCTGCCTTGCTGAACAATGCTTTCTATCCTTCCAGTTTCGAAACTGCATCTTGCAGCTTTTTGGGAAGAAAGTTGATGATAGCTCCGAACTCTCCAGCGCCTCTAAAACAGAGGCCTCATCTGTCTCTTCAGTGTCCCCTGCGTGAGGTCTGCCTCTCCCCTCCCTGCTTCTCCATCCTTGTGAGGTACATGTAATTTTTCCTTGCCCAAACTAACAAAGTCCCAGTGACTGCTACAATCATTTGGGACCCCCGAAGCCACTGCGTGTATAGGCACCAGCCCTTGGAGAGAGCAAAGGAAATAAAGAGAAGAACAGCACAGCGTGGATTTCCACCTTTTTCAGGTTTCATGTCTACAGGCAGCATGGAAGAACTGTGGTGAAGTGGAAGTGGGAGGTGGTGGGTATGTGCATGCGTCTCACTGGGCTGGCAGTTCCAGAACTGGAAAGTCAGAGCTGTGAGGTGACCCTCTCCAAAGGGCTTGCTGGATGTCCTTGATTCCCAGGGGGAGGGCACTGGCACTCAGCAGTAGCCCCCCCTGACCCCGTTAAGGCTCATCCGATGAAGTCTTAGTGTCCTTGGAGTCCAGCCTCCACCTAAAGGGGCTCCAAGCCTGCCAGTCTATAGTGTGCCACTTGTGCCAGACCAGTGCCCCGAAGCCAAGCAGTATGAGTATGGTGCATGTGCGCAGACGCGACTTGACCAGGGTGAAGGGGCAGGAACACACCGTGGAGACAAGGACCAAGAGAATGGTGGCCAAGGTGAGGAGCAGGCTTACAAGTCTGAACAAAAACTTCAGGGGACAGCTTCGCAGCTTTGCTGTCATACCCACTTCAGTGACTTCCTGTAGATGTTCTAACTTGGATATTCGCTCCTTGAAATTCTCCATGACCTCCTGCAAGTGACAAACACAAAAGTTTACCCGAAATTAAAACAAAATGGTGGTTACTTCACTGAGTTGCTTAGGGGATCTGCACCAACTATGGTTGAGCTGAATCTTTTAGGAGAGATACAGAGAATTCCCAGTATATACACAGCAGAGACAGAGTTGCTGCGGAAGGCCGTGCAGACTCGGCCATACTTCCCATCATTACCTTGTGAGACTGAGGATTTACTTGGGACAAGGTTAAGCTAGGACAGGGGTAGGAGAGAAGGGTGTGGAAGACAGTGAAGGGTAGCAAGCTAGGTCCACACGAGTAGTTTGCAGAAGCTTTCTCTGCTCCAGCAACTGAAGCATCACCAGCAACCTCCCCACCACCACCAGGGCTTGGCAAGTTCTACTCCCTATCTGTGGTCACAGACTCTGGGATGGGGCCCAGGGACCATTCTCAAGCGTGAGAACCACAGCACTAGGTTTCCCAAAGCAGCTAAGCTAGATGATGAGATGGAGCTCACATGTATATAATGACTAGACTGGATTTTAGAGCTCCTTTGCCATCAGGAGAAGCAGAGTCACCCAGGACTTGGCTGTTGAATTCGTTTGGAGGCATCCAAACAGATTTGTCAGTCCTATGTATTTCTCCTTGGCCCTTTCTTAAAGAGCTTCCCCATGATGTTCTCACCAAGATTTCCTTGTCTCTTTCATAGGACAAATAGGCCATTTTCTCTTCAGTGCAGGCCAGATTCTGTTTGAGGTGGTAAATCTCATCCAAGTGCACCTGCAAGTGGTCATTCACCTGTTCTTCCATCAATGCTTGTCTTGGGAGCAAGAATAAAAGTCAAAGTCTCTCAGTAGCTCACTCGGAGATCAGGCTGGCAGTGAGCACACTGCATCTAGATTTCACTTGGATTCCCTTGCCTCCCTCTATTTGTGTGTGCTGGTACTGGGGCTTGAGCTCAGGCTCAGCTTTGTTGCTCACAGCTGGCCCTCTACCACATGAGTCACAGCTCCACTTTTGGAATTTTTTTGGTGGTTCATTAGAGATAAGAGTCTCACGGACTTTCCTGCCTGGGCTGGTTTTGAACTTCGATCCTTAGATCTTACTCTCCTGAGTAGCTAGGATTACAGGTGTGGACCACCAATGCCCAGCTTGTCTCCCTCTTTTAAATTTTTATTTTATTGTTATTTTTTGTCAGTCGTGGGGCTTGAACTCTGGGCCTGGGCACGGTCCCTCAGCTCTTCAGCTCTAGGCTAGTGCTCTACCACTTGAGCCACAGTGCCACTTCTGGTTTTCTGGTGGTTTACTGGAGATAAGAGTCTCACAGACTTCCCTCCCCAGACTGGCTTTGAACCATGATCCTCAGATGTCAGCCTCCTGAGTAGCTAGGTGTACAGGTATGAGCCACTGGCACCCAGCTTCCTTCTTTTTTTTTTTTTTAATCTTGGACTCCAGTCAAACAGCCTCCTCTTCCAGGTCTGCCTGGAGACACTCCAAACACACATCAGTCACATGTAGATGAAACACAGATTTATCTTATATATAGTTATTTTCTAGTAACAGCTTTCCAAGAATTTCTATAGATCAGAAATTATAGAAATGAAAATCTAACCCAGGCACTGATAGCTCACCCCTGTAATCCCAGCTACTCAGGAGGCTGAGATCTAATGATTGATGTTCAAAGCCAGCCTGGGCAGAAAAGTCCATGAGACTCTTATCTTCAATTAGCCAGCAAAATGTCAGAAGTAGAGGTATGGTTCAAGTGGTAGAATGCTAGTCTTGAGTGGAAAAGCCAAGTGATGGGGGCTGGGAAGGTGGCTCAGTGGTAGAGCGCTTGCCTTGCATGCCTGAGGTCCTAGGTTCGATTCCTCAGCACCACATAAGAAAAAAGCTGGAAGTGGTGCTGTGGCTCAAGTGGTAGAGCGCTAGCCTTGAGCTGAAGAGCTGAGGGACAGCGCCCAGGCCCAGAGTTCAGGCCCCATGACCGGACCAAAACAAAACAAAAAACAAAAAAAGCCAAGTGATAACATGAGGCCCTGAGTTCAAGCCACTGGTTTCAGAGTGAGGAAGGGTGAGAGGGAGAGGGCAGGGAGAGAAAAAGGGAGAGAGAAAGAGGGAGAGGGAATCAAAACTGTGCACTATCCAACTCCATCAATATCCCTGGGGCCAATGTTTAGCATGTAATAGTTGCTCTATAAAACTGTTTTAATACAGGGATTGAGAGTCACAAAAGATAAATAGTGTACAATTGTACTTATATGCAATGTCCATAGAGACGGAAGCAGATGAGGAGGTGTCAGGAGTAGGAGGAGTGACATTAATGGGGACGAGATTTCTTTCGGGGATGATACAAATGTCAAGCAAGTAGATTGTGGTGAATGTTAGACAATTTTGTGACTATATCAGAAACCACTGAATGCTACACTTTAAATGGGTGAAACTTATGGGACCTGAATTATATTTCAATAAAGCTGTTACTTAAACAAACCAAAAAGTTACATTGTGGTCATGGTTTCACAGCTCAGTAAATTCAATGACAACTATTGAAATGTACTCAAAATGTTGCATTTTATGACATGCAAAGTATATCTCAGTAGGGATATTTTTAAGGACACAGGCAAAACACTATTAGCTGTTATAAATATAAATATGTAAGTAAGTAAAAGTATTCAGGGCCTCAAAATGGTTCATAACTGGAAAACTTTTTTGACATTCCTCCTCGGGCACTATGGTAGACAGACAAGCCAGAGGCATAGATGCAAGGCTGCTACAGAGGAGGCTTGCGATTTGTCATTTGTGACATAGTAGAGGAAGTCCTAACCTTCCCAGAGAGCTATGGAGCCCATAGAAAGGTAGGGCTTCCATGCTGTAAGGTACAGAAGGACAGCCACACTCTGGGGGTACACGAGGCACAAACAATGATGTGCACGCACAGGCTGGAAGACAAATAAGGATCTCCACTTGGTCATATTCCAAAGACTTGACCAGCATCCACATCAAGACATCCTCAAGGCAGCTAGTACACGGCCTGCTGGTTTGTTGAATACCAGTTCATCAAAAACCAGCTCCTAAGAGGACCATTCCATTTGTCTCAACCTCATGTACCTGTGAAACTTCAGCTGACAAAAAGGGCCAAGGGCTGGGAAGGTGGCTCAGTGGTAGAGTGCTTGCCTTGCATGCATGAGGCCCTAGGTTCCATTCCTCAGCACCACATAAGCAGAAAAAGCCAGAAGTGGCACCGTGGCTCAAGTGGTAGAGCGCTAGCCTTGAGCTGAAGAGCTGAGGGACTGCTCCCAGGCCCAGAGTCCAGGCTCCACGACTGGCAAAAAAAAAAAGAAGGGCAAAGAGGGGAGTTCATAGGATGCCTACCCACCAAACAAACTCCTCAGTACTCTCAGTTCCATTTACAAAAAAAGAACTGAGCCAGGTGTGGTGGTGCATTCTGGTAATCTCAGCACTATGGAGAAATTGTCAGGTCCTGCCTCAAAAGAGAAGAAAGGAAAAAAGAAAAAAGAAGATCTGGTTAGAAGAACATTCAAGATATTAACTATGCACCAGTATAGAATATTCTTCATGAATATGAATAGATACAATCTTGATAGATTTATAAGCATATATGACTAGGTTCTTGAATAAGATGATAGTAAGTAATATTTTCATAAGAATATTCTTTCCATCTTCCTTCTCTCAGCCCTCCCCCTACTCTCCTTCCCTTCTGGCCGCAGTATCCTAAACATGACATAGTTGACTCCTCCCTCTGTCCAGTTCTTACTCAAAAAAGCAAATAGACAATCTGGAAAATGCTTTTATGGAGATAAAATGATGATCATTCAACCAAATCACCCCCAAAATATTAGAAAATTTTCTTCAAGAACACACTCTTTGCTGGAGGTATCACAATATCAGCCTTCAAACTATACTACCAATCCATAGTAATAAAAACAGTTTGGTACTGGCACAAATACAGACCTAAAGACCAATTAAATAAACTAGAAACTAACTCAGGAATAAAACCACGGAGCTACCACAAACTAATTTTTGATAAAGGAACCAAAAATATACAAAGTAAATAAGACAACCTCTTCAACAAATGGTGCTAGGGAAACGATATCCACCTGCATGAGACTGAAATTAAACCTCTGTCTTTCCTTCTGTACAAAAAATCCACTCCAAGTGGATCAGGGAGCTCAAAGTTAAGACCTGAAACTTTAAAGCTACTACAGGAAAATGTAGGGAAAACCATGGAGGTCATAGGCACAGGTAAATAGTTTCTGCATAGGAAACCAGTTGCCCAAAGGATACGGGAAAGAACTGACAAGTGAGACTATATCAAATCAAAGAGTTTCTGCACAGCAAAAGAAACAGTAACCAGGACCAAGAGTATAGGAAAAAAATTCAACAGATAAAGTATTGATATATATAGAATATACAGAGAACCTAAAGGTAAACAGCAAAAGATAAACCAATTAGTAAATGAGCAAGCAAGTTGCACAGTAGTGCAGTGACTAATAGATACATGAAGAAATGTTCAACATCCTTAGCTATACAGGAAATGCAAATCAAAAGCTCACTAAGATTCTCACCTCAGTCAGATGGCAGTCATTAAGAACACAAACATGCAGGTGCCAATGGCTTACACCTGTAATCCTACCTACTCAAGGGACTGCAAGGAGATCTGAAGGTCACGGTTCAAAGCCAGCTCGGGCAGGAAAGTCTGTGAGATTCTTATGTACAATTAACCAGCAAAAACCTGGAAGTTGAGGTATGGCTCAAGTGATAGAATGCTAGTCTTGAGCATAAAAGCTAAAAGACAACACGCAGGCCCCAAGTTCAAGCCCCAGGACCAGCACAAAAAAAAAGAAAGAAAGAAAAATGAGTGGATTAGATTTGCTGAGAGTGCACACACCTGTGTATGCGTGCGTGCGCCAGTCCTGGTTTTGAACTATTTGGGGCCTGGGTGCTGTCCCTGAGCTTTACCACTTGAGCCATAGCTCTATTTCTGGTCTTTTGGTGATCAAGTGGAGATATGACTCTCATGGACTTCCCTGCTCCAGCTGGCAGTCTCCTGAGTCACTACGATTACCAGGGCCCAGCAGATTTGCCTTTTTCTTATTGGGTTCCAGTCTTGTCTTTGAGAAAAATAATACCAAGCCATAGCATGGGGGAGAAAAATCATCCAGTCATTTTTGGACCTAATAGCCACTGCCTGACTTTATGCACCAGTTCAGATAGGGTGGCAGTGTGACACCAGTCCTGAGAAACCTTCCCAGCATGTGGGGACTAAGGGGCACTGTCTGCCTAAAGTCAGCTGTTTGCCAGGCTCCCACTGCCACCTGGCTGCCTCCATGCTCCACTGCAGTGCTGAGACTGTTTGGCAGAGACCCTCCCTGGAGCTCCTTACTCTCCAAGCCCAGGTCCCGTGTTGGCCCTCAACCATCCCCCGTTCTCAGAGCCAAGGCCTGAGAAGGGACTTGTCTTACCTGAATTTCTCCTTCTGAAGGGATTGCAGTGATTCCTGCAGATCCCTCAGATACCTCTCCTTGAGGCTCTGGTAGGACACCTGAAGGCCAATGTGGAACCTGCTGACCTCTTTTAGATTTTCCTTCATCTTCTCCAACAACAGCTTTTGATGCTTGGCCACAGCCTTAGTATCTGAGATTTTCCCCAGCTGCAAGGCTGAGAGGTGGTTCTTCAGAGAAAAGGCCTTGGAAAGGTCAGGCAGACTGGTGAGCATGCCATCTTCCCCACCTAGCTTGGATGTCTCAGAAGCTAAGGCCCTCATGCTGGGCTGTTCACAGCTGTCCAGGCTGCTCTCAACCCTCAGCATTGAGCCCGGGGTCCTGCAGCTCTCCAATTCTTGCAGTTGCTGTTGGCACTGGCGAAGCCTTCGCTCAATATGGGCAATGGTGGCAGAAGCCCGCTGGTTCACCTTCTCAAAGGCCTGCCGGATGTACAGGGCCTGGCGTTGGTCAGCTTTGGACACCAGCTTGAGGTAGCTCATCGTGTTCACATCCCGACTGACTGTCTCCACTTTCAGCTGCTCTGAGAGGTAGAAGATGCGGTGCTTGACACTTTCCTGTAAGTTGTGGGCAAGTTCCCCATCTGAGATACTGGAATGACCACTGGGGCGGTCTTCATTGGATGCCAGGGACTTGGAGGAAGGCACATTGGATGGAAGGGTTGACCTCTGGCTCTTGTTCTGTTCTGCCTGCATTAGCTAACACAACACATAAGGGTGGTGCTTTGTGAACTGTAAATAATAGGCAATTTGGACATTCATGTTTCATTTCATAAGAATCCTTACATGTGTGAGTAGACACTGATGGGTGTACAATTTGTTCATTCAACATGGGCCCAACAGACTGAGGAGGTCAAGTACATCTTCTGATCTCCACCCCTTTCCAGTGCCTAAAACTCCTTATGTCCTAGGTACACCTTATCCTGACCCTAAAGTGACTAGAATCCTCCATCTTCATCTGCCTCACCCACTCTTTCTTTATTTTTGGGGGGGGGGGGGGGCGGGGTCGGTCATGGGGTTTGAACTCTGGGCCTGGGCACTGTCCCTGAGCTCCTCAGCTCAAGGCTAGCACTCTACCACTTGAGCCACAGCAACCACTTCCAGCTTTTTCTGTTTATGTGGTGCTGAGGAATCGAAGCCAGGGCCTCATACATGCAAGGCAAGCACTCTACCACTGAGCCGCCTTCCCAGCCCATGCCCCCCTCCCCCATTCTTACACCTACCTCTCCTCCTTTTTTTTTTTCTCAGTCCTGGGGCTTGAACTTAGGGCCTGGGCAAGGCAAGCACTCTATGACTTAAGTCACAGTGCCACTTCCAGTTGTCTGGTGGTTTACTGGAGATAAGAGTTTCATAGACTTTCCTGCCCTGGCCGGCTTTGAACCTCAATCCTCAGATCTTAGCCTCCTGTGTAGCTAGGATTACAGACGTGAGCCACCAGCGTCCAGCATCTCCTCCTATTTTCCCTTCCAAGAAATTTCCAATTACAGGTCGCATTTAGAAAGAACTAGTCTTGTAAAGGATGAATAAAATCATTCCCATTAACCCATATGGCTTCTGTATTACTACTCTCAGGGGAATAAGAGAGGCAGGCAGGGCTGGGAATATGACTTTGTAGTAGAGTGATTGCCTAGCATGTGTGAATTCCTCAGTACCACATAAACAGAAAAATCCGGAAGTGGGAGTGTGGCTCAAGTGGTAGAGCACTAGCCTTGAGCACAATGAGGCTCAAGGACTGTGTCCAGGCCCTGAGTTCAAGCTCCAGGACCAGCAAAAAAGAAAAAAGAGAGAGAGAGAGGAAGGCAGAGATTTGCATCCACTTTTTTTTGGTCAGTCATGGGTCTTGAACTCTGGGCCTGGGCACTGTCCCTCAGCGCTTCAGCCCAAGGCCAGCACATTACCACTTGAGCCACAGTATCACTTCCAGTTTTCTAGTGATTTATTGGAGATAAGAGTCTCATAGACTTTCTTGCCCAGGCTGGCTTTGAACAATGATTCTCAGATCTCAGCCTCCTGAGTAGCTAGGATTACAGATGTGAGCCACCAGCGCCCAGCCTTTGCATCCATTTTTTGCAATCATCTAGCTCACACATTATTTTGTGAGCACCTACCATGTGCTACACAAGCCGAACACAGTCCTTGTTTTCATAGTGGGGACAGTTACGGGTGGAAAATTCTTTTTTTATTACTCATCATTTTTATTTAGTATGTACTCATACAGTTAAAAAAACATATTGCTGGGCTGGGAAGGTGGCTCAGTGGTAGAGCGCTTGCCTTGCATGCATGAGTCCCTGGGTTCGATTCCTCAGCACCACATAAGCAAAAAGAAAAAAGCCAGAAGTGGTAGAGCACTAGCCTTGAGCTGAAGAGCTGAGGGACAGTGCTCAGGCCCAGAGTTCAGGCCCCACAACCGGACCCAAAAAAGAAAAAACAAAAAACATATTGCTAGGGATTGAGGGTGTTAGCTCAATGGTAGAGTGCTTGACAATTAGGCCTGAGGCTCTTATTTAATCCACATGTATGTGTATACATATGCATATGTGTGTATGTATGTATATGCATCTGCATGCATACACATATGTATATCTACACACATACATATGTATGGATACACCTGCATACATGGATATATTTACCCATTTATATGTATATATGTTGGTATTTACACATGTATGTGCATATATATTGTTTTTAATTTTTATCAAGAGAATATTTTTTAAAGTAGACAGAAAGGGCACAATGAATTAGGGGTGGAAAATTCTATTATAACACAAAAGAGTTTCTCACATGTTGAGAACTAATACTGCCTAAAGCGCCCTTCAAAATCTGCCTCTACCACTCTGAGATCTTGAACAAGTTAACAAATCATTCTGAGGCATGATTTTCTAAAATCAAGATGATATGAACAGATCTGGAACCCAGAGCTGAAGGTGAGGAGTTACTCTGAAACTATACAGACCTTAACCACAGATTACCATCTGAAAGAGCTCTCCCAGCAGCAAGTCCAGAAATGATTATACTGTAGCAGAGAGCTTAGTTCTGTGTATATTATGATCTGTAAATTATACATTAATTTAGAAAGCACAGTGTGATGCCACTAACAGAACCAGAAGATAGACAAAACTCAGAGTAAATGTCAGCAATGACAGAAGCGCTCAGTTACTAGCACTGGAAGAGGAAAATGGCACAGCCTCTATGGAAAAAAGCATTGGGGAGTAACATGAATTGAAAGACACGTGTAACAGTGATAGCATTTACAGACAATATCTTCTGGAGAAAAATGATGTTCCAGTAATTAATTACTTTGAAGAACCCACCTGCCCATCAAGAGCAAAAAGTGTAAGTGAACAGTTAAATATCCAGCAATATACTCCTATGTATCACAGGAAATGCACTTGAGCCTTGAAAGACATGAATCAATCTCACAGGCAGAATACTGAACACAAGAGTCTAATAGAAAATTCACTACTACATATAATTTTACTTTAATTTTACTTGTAAGAATTTCATGAACAAACAAAAGCAATATTACATAGGAATGCCTACACTGATGACAGAACTATGAAGAGAAAACATAAACAGTAGGGTCCATGTCGGGAAGAACAAGGCTGTGATTGGGAGGGGATAAGTAGAGTTTGGGGTGCATGTCAAAAGTAGTAGTTAAAAATGCATTGCACCAGAAACCGTTGACTCATGCCTTTAATCCTAGCTACTCAAGAGGCTGAGATCTGAGGATATTGGTTCAAAGACAGCCCAGGCAGGAAAGTCCATTAGACCCTTATCTCCAATTAGCCACAAAAAAAGAAACACAAATGGAGCCATGGCTCAAGTGGTGGAACACTAGCCTTAAGAAAAAAATGAGCCGGGCGCCGGTGGCTCATGCCTATAATCCTAGCTGCTCAGAGGCTGAGATCTGAGGATAGCGGTTCAAAGCCAGCCTAGGCAGGAAAGTCCATGAGACTCTTATCTCCAATAAACCACTTGAAAACCAGAAGTGGTGCCGTGGCTCAAGCGGTAGAGCACACGCCTTGAGCTGAAGAGCGCAGGGACACCGCCCAAGCTCAGAGTTCAAGCCCCACGACCTACCAAAAAGAAAGAAAGAAATGAAGAACAATGACAGTACCCAGGCCCCAAGTTTAAAGCCCAGAACACACACACACACACATACACACACACACACACAAACACACACACACAATGTATTGTTCTACCATTTTCTTTCTCTGCGCTGGTACTAGGGCTTGAACTCAGGGCATCAAGCTCTCACTTGGCCTTTTCTCTAAAAGATGGCTTTTTGGTGACTAACTGGAGATGAAAGCCTCATGGACTTCCTACCTGGGCTGACTCTGAACCACAGTCTTCTCATCTTAGCCTCCCAAGTAGCTAGAATTATAGGCATGAGCCACCAACATCTATCCTGTTTCTTTTATGTATATATGCCTGATTATACAACCTCCAAAAAGTTTCTGAATGTTCAATATATTGATTTAGCAGAAGATTTGATATGACTGCAGAGAGTATTGGTAAACTGTAAATGGAGCTAATAAAGTATACAGTTGCAGCACAGATCAAAAAAATAGAAAATTTGAAAAGTATCAATAGAGAAGTGTGAGAAAATTTCTCCAAAATCTTATCACTATGCCAGAACAAAGCAGTGACAATATTTGAAGATATTTATTCCTTAAGATCTTTCCAAAAGTAATAAAAGCAAAAAAAAAAAAAAAAAAAAGAAGGGAGGGAGGGAGGGGATGGTAGGGGGAAAACAATGGAGAGGGTAACAATGTTCAAGAGGAAGTGTACTCATTACCTCACTCATGTAACTGTAACCTCTGTATAGTAGCTTTACAATAAAATAAAATTAAAAAAAAAAAAGAAGCATAAATCCCAAGCAAGGAAAACAGAACTCAATCCTTACCTAAATAAAAAAAAAATTATCAAAATTTGTTAGAGGATAAAAGCTGATTACCTTTAAGACCCAGACTTCTAGATTGAAAAATGATTTCTGAGTAACATCAATGGAATCCAGAATCCAGTTCACTAGTATCTTCACTAGGCAGGCAGGAAAACTGTTGGAGAGAAAACATTCAAAGCCACCAAAGTCAGGATGTCTCAGATTGTCCAGCAACAGCATGGTGGGGGGGGAGGGGCTAGTTGATAATGAAACTCTGAGGGAAAAATTAGTTTAAACCAAGAATTCAATGTCCAAGTTATCCAAGCCAGCAAGTGTAAGTTTAGGATCTTTGCCTGTTCTTTCTTTTCTCTTCCCTTTTTTGTGGTGCTGGGAATGAAATCTAAGACTTCACATCTGCACTCTACTGAAAGAACATCAATACATTGTCTTTTTTTTCTCTTCTACATTCAAGCCAACATGCACACACACACACATACACACACAACTATGTGAAAATGACCTATGTAACTTATAGGCAGGAATGGGAAGGGGGATCTGGGGCAAAGCTAAGAAAGGAGTGACATTTTCCAAAAAAGGAAATGTACAGCTGGGCGCTGGTGGCTCACTCCTGTAATCCTAGCTACTCAGGAGGCTGAGATCTGAGGATAGCGGTTCAAAGCCAGTCCAGGCAGGAAAGTCCGTGAGACTCTTATCTCCAATAAACCACCAGAAAACCGGAAGTGGCGCTGTGGCTCAAGTGGTAGAGCACTAGCCTTGAGCTGAAAAGCTGAGAGACAGCGCCCAAGCC